ATTTCTTCTCACATACACTACAAGAATAATGTTTTTCACCAGTATGAACATGACTATGATCTAACAATTCCGCCTTCGTTGAAAAACCGTTTTTACATATGAGACAATAATGGGGTTTTGCACAAGCATGAGTGAGTGTGTGCTTAGTTAAAATCTGTTTTCGTGAAAAACTCTTGTTACATACACTACAAGAATAAGGTTTTTCACCCGTGTGAACACATCTGTGTGTAGACAATGTTCTCTCTTGTGAAAAACTTTTGTTACATATGTCACAAGAATAAAGATTTTGAATAGTGTGTGTGTTATCATGTTGATTTAAATTCATCTTCATTGAAACTTTCTTATTGCACACACTATAAGAATTAAGTTGCTCCAAAGTACGAGTGTGACTGTGTCTAGTTACATGTTCCTTCTGCGAAAAAAAAAACTGTACCACATACTCTAAAAAAATGAAGATTCTTTTCTGTATGAGTTTTAGGCACGTTCTGTCTTTTTAACTCATGCTGACTGCTACATCTCAATAACCTTTGTATAGTTTAATTATCTTAATGAAGATATTTATATGAGGTGTAATTATAAGGTTTTATACGTGTGTACTAAGTTTGATTTTAGTTCCTATTTCTGTTTTAGAAAACTTTTTGAAAAAGCTACAACAAAAATTCTACAATATTTTCCTGTTGATTGGGTATTCCAAAAGAAGTATTTAAGTTATCAGCAATTAGGCATTAAAAGTATTTAAGTTACTATCAATACATATAAGTTATACAATGTAATAAATGAATAACAATTAAACATCACATTTAAATACCAATCAATATTATAGTCTAATAACAATGTAAATGCCTTTCTTCAACTTTTCACAGTGGGAGTAGAAAGAAGTCAGGCAGCCTTTTCTTAACTAATATCTTAGGTAAACACCAAGTGTCATAAGATACTGGCAATGCAATTGTATCCAAGTAAGGAAATGCAATTCTGAAAAGAAAAAAATTAATAAACAATTAAAATATGTGCCTTGATATAATGTATAGAATATTTTAGGTGTGAATAAACATTTTGAATCAATATTTAAATTATGTCAACAGGTTCAGTGCACAGAATACATGAAAGATTTCACCTAAAAGTTTCTTTGTTCTAAGAAGTTGACTTTATAAATATATAAAAAAAACAAACTCAGTGTTAAATTCATAAGCAAATGGACCCATTTCAACATGTCAAATTTAATCTTAGTGAATTCATGAAATTATTGCGTAAGCGGCTAAAAAGAATACTTTGTTTAAGAACAGCAACTTAAAATAATATTCTTTTAATAACTCTTGTTATTGCCATTTCTTTTATTTCCTTAATTAAAATTTAGTATATAAATACTCAACATAGAGTGCATAAATAGCTCAGATTTTAAATACTAGAACAAGCATAATAAGTAACTTCATTTTAATGTACCTAATTACTTAAGCAGCATCAATTCTACTCACTTTTACTAAAATATTTTCAACTTTAGATGCCTTTTCTTCACTCAGTTGATAATGAGACTTTTTTACAATATACAGGAGATAGCACCATAAAATAAAATACTCTTGTTGAAACGAATTTAATAAATATTTTCTATAAATATTCTCATAATTTCTGTCCAAGGGTATATTTATACTTTATAAATGCAAATCACTTTTAATTGCTAACATTTTTTGTTATAAGTAGCTTAAATATTACAGCATGATAATATATCTTTTATAACAAAAACTCACATTTAGTGATACAAATTTAGAAATGCAAATATCAGTGTTAATAAAACAAAAGTACCGACATTTTTTGGAATCTCACCCGAAAACGTGTTTTTTTCGTTTTTTTTTGTTTTTTGTTTAACTGTTTGTAGATAAGTCGATGACTTATGTCTGTGGGTACAACCGGCTG